ACAGAGTCTTGCTTACAACAATTCTTCACCAGTCCCGCCGTTTGGGTTCCAAAGGCCCTCCCTAAATCTACGGCTCGAAATCGCACCCAGGATCTCAGTGACCTAGGGGCTTTTCTCTGGAGCTCAAGGGGGTGCTCCGCTACCATACGCACCTTTTCTTGATTCACAAAAGGCTGCAGTCAGGTGAGAATGACTGACATGATGCTAGTTATGCTGTACATCTCTACTGTGGTTTACATGGAAAATGATTCGCAGTTTTGTATATTCACACTTCTGGGAAACGACGTCAGTAGATCCAGAATAATTAGCTAACAAAGCTCGGGTTCTTTCGGGACTCCAAAGGGTGGCGGCGGCAATAACTTGTCGCATTAGTGCTTATTTCATTGTGGCCAATGAATCTTTCCTTGATTTGTATCTACCGTGACTGCGGCTAGTCGAAAAATAGAGATCGCAGGGCCTTGTGTCAACTCTGCCGAGTGCTGGCCTTGGGCCGATGCGAAGTTATACTACAGGGCCTTAAGAGCAAGACAAACATGTTACATGTTTAAAAGGCTTGATATTAGATTTGGGGAAGGTGCATGATCCCGTGAAAGTTGCTGCAGGAGACCCACTACAAAGCAGCAGGGGAATGCATTCCAACCCAGTGCTCCCGGTGTGCATCAGTCAAGCAATTCACAGGTTTGAGGCATTGCTACACAAACAGGCCAATGAATAGGCACGAGTGCCGTGATGGGACCGAAAACGCATACGCTGCCAGCTTCATAGCTCCATGTTTGAACACCCCATACGGCCAAGGAGCGTGACTTCAAGCTTTCCTGGAGTGACAGGTCAACAATAGATCGCCACATCACTATGACTTTGACTCAACCGGTTTACAAAGAACTCTGACAACTCTTGGATACTTGATAGCTAGCGATTTTTGGGCACCACTCACTAGCCAAAAAAGGAGTTGCAATGAATTTCAATGCACTGGCGATGCTTCTGCTCACATAATCTCTAATGTCTCAAAGGTGCCTTTCTTGATTCGGAGTTCTTGAGTGTAATCTTTTGGAACCACTAGTTCCAACCCGCTTCTACTCAGTGCTCAGAGAGTTGGGCCTGAGTCATCTCCAAGTCCTCCGGGAAACTAGCACTGACAAGGTTTTCAGATGTGGTGGAAATTGGCAGGGAGCGGCATGCTGCACGGGGAAACCAGTACCGCCTGGAAATGATGATCATAACTATGTTTAGTGGCACCGGTGGTCAATGAACAACCCTTGTCAAGAAGGACAACCGGACAACCCTTTGTAGATGCTGGAAAGCTTCTCCGTGCACCAATTTGAACAAGGTAAATAGTCAGAATGTTGCAAGACCACAAGGATTAGAACATCTTAGAACAAGAATCTTGCATCAAAGCTGCCCAGTTTCAGCCGTGATTGAACCCCGTATCGAAGCTCTGAATCGAACCGTTTTCACTTCACGATTGAGCAAAGTGAGAGCACCCGTCAAACAATCTGTTCCATCGAGATTGAAGTCCTTCCGCTGACACAGCTGTGAGACAACATGAAAACAAACGCAGTCCCTCATGACTCCACATCTGTTGCCTTGCAAAGGAGCTGCGTCAGATCCTGAAGCAGGTGATCTTTTGAGAAGATCTTGGGTGCAGCAAGTGCAGGGGCTCGAACACTTTCTCCGAGTGCCTTAGAGATCCTGTTCTCATGAATTGAATGATCAAGGACTGCGGCTGAAAAGTATCTACAAGGCTGCAGTTTCAAGAGGTTTGGACAAATATTTACAGTACACCGTTTCTTGGCAACCCCAAATCGAATTTGATCTCCTGCGTAAACTCCTTCTTCATCTCTGCGAACTTCTTCTCAGCTTCGGCTTCCTGTTATTGAAATCAAGCTGTCTATGTCATCCAAAACAGACCAACTAACATGACAAGCCCCAGCTGTCAAAGGCAAGAGTGTCATCGTATACGGTGCTGCGCAAGTCAGCGGGAGTGCGATCTTCAGCAACCAAGCCAAGAGCATACAGGTTAGGTCCATATTGCCACACTGATTTGGCTTCAACATTTGCAACCTCATCACTCAGGATATGTACCAATGCGGGTGCAATCAGCTTTGCAATCTGTTTGCTAAAAAGTGAAACACTCCAACAATACGACACATGTTTGGGTTCTGCGTCCCTTCTAACCAGGCTTCACATTGCTTCGGGGTCACCACCAGCTGCCATCAAGTCCTGCAAGCGCATCTTTTCACCCAGGGCCTCCTGGTCCGTGGCAGCCTGGCACCAGGCTGGAAATGTAAGTAGTACGGCCAGGAGCAACTAGTAGCGTCCTTGCTCCTAGTGGCGATGCCAGGAGCCCCTAGTAGCATCCTTGTTCCTAGTAAAGCGATATCCAGCAGAACGGAACATGGGCCTTGGAACGGATCTGCTGCGCTTCCGCCGCCAGCAGGGCCTTCTCTTCCTCCAGCCTGGGAGACAAGGTGCAATAGATGGTGAGAACCTGCTATGTGTAAATTGGTATTAGGAGCCCATCGCTCTTAGGTGGAGGCCATTGCTCTTAGGTGAAGGCCATTGC